CATGGCTTCCAACACCACGGAAAGGTCCCACATCGGGACTGAAGGGGGCCTGGGAGGGTTCAATCTCTGAGCACCCCTGAGGAAACGCACGACTAAGTCGTTCTTTCCCAGCGACTGGCCAGACACCGGTTTTGCAAACGTTGCTATGGCCGCCACGTACACTTTGAGCGTGGAAGGGGTTCTGCCCTTATCCAGCAGCTCTTGAAGGAAGGAAAACACTTCCTTAACCCCGCAGTCTACGGGTGACAAGCCCTAAGCTTGACACCAAGCAGAGAACACAGACCATTTCGAGGAGTAGAGTCGTCTAGTAGACGGAGCTCTAGCCTGCGTGATCGTGTTTAACACTCCCTCCGGGAGGTCAGCGGGTACCCGGTGATGGCCCAATGCGTGCAGGGACCACAAATCCGGGCGAGGATGCCAAATCGAGCCCCCTGCCTGAGAGAGGAGGTCTCTCCTCAGTGGCACAGGCCACGGGGCAGTGCTGGTCAGCTGCATCAGGAATGGGAACCAAGTCTGGTTTGTCCAGAGCGGAGCCACGAGCAGCACTGGGCATCCGTTTTCCCTGATTCGTTCCAACACTTGAGGCAGGAGCGAGACAGGGGGAAAAGCATATAGGGAACAGCGGGGCCAGACGTGGGCCAGCGCGTCTCTGCTTTTCGAGAAAAAGTTCTGGCAATGAGCGTTTCCGTGGGACGCGAACAGGTCCACCTGCGCTTTGCCGAATGTTTCCCACAGCAGTTGGACCGTCTGCGGGTGCAGCGACCATTCCCCTGCTGGGACATTGTTTCTGGACAGTCTGTCTGGTCCCACATTCAGGTGACCAGGCACATGCGCTGCTCTCAGTGAGAGCAGGTTGTGCTGGGCCCAGACCAGGAGGCGTTCCGTCAGCCTGTAAAGGTTTCGGGCCATGATGCCACCCTGGTGATTTACGTAGGCCACCACTGACATGTTGTCCGACCGAACCAAGACGTGGTGGCCTTTTATCTGGGGACAAAAGCGCCGTAGCGCTTTGTCGACTGCTATCATTTCCAAGCAGTTTATGTGAAGGAGCTTTTCCCGTTCTGACCACAGGCCAGCAAGTGGTCTGCCCTCGAGCAGCGCTCCCCATCCCGAGGTGGAGGCCTCCGTAGACACCACCCTCACACTCGAGGGAGTCCCCAGACTCACACCTGACTGATACCAGTCGGTCATTTTCCAAGGTTTCAGAGCCGAAAAGCACTTTAGACCGACCTTGAGGCGAAACAGACCAGCTGTCCATGCCTGGGGCGGAACTCGCGCTTTCAGCCAGAACTGCAGTGGGCGCATGCGAAGCAGGCCCAGCTGGAGTACGGAGGCTGCTGAGGCCATTAGGCCCAGCGTTTTCTGAAACCTTTTGAGCGGGACTATAGAGCCGTGGCGGAAGGATTTCGCGACGCGCTGAATGCTTAGTCCGCGCTCCGGTGACAGGCGTGCTGTCATGGATAGCGAGTCCAGCACTGTTCCCAGAAAAGAAATATTCTGACTGGGAGACAGCGAGCTTTTCGCCCAATTGACTGTGAGGCCCAGATTCTCGAGGTGCTCGAGTAATGTGGCCCTGTGTTGCTCTGAGTGAGATCGAGCTAGAATCAGCCAATCAACCAAGTAGTTCAAAACTCGCATGCCCCGGAGTCTCAGGGGTGCGAGAGCCGCGTCCATGCACTTCGTGAATGTACGGGGTGCTAGGGACAGGCCGAACGGCAGGACTGTGTATTGATATGCCTGGCCCTCGAAGGCGAATCTCAAGAATCGTCTGTGATGGGACGCTATTTGTATTTCGAAATAGGCGTCTTTCAGATCTATTGACATAAACCAGTCCTCTCGGCGCACTTGTGCGAGGATTTTCCTGGTTGTAAGCATTCTGAACTACCGCTTTACAAGTGCTCTGTTCAGCTGTCACAGATCTAAAATGGGTCTGAAAACCCCCATCCTTTTTCGGTACCAGAAAATATCTGCTGTATAGGCCCCCTTCGCTCTGAGCCTGAGATAAAGGTTCTATAGCCCCTTTGCTCAGAAGTTTCGCTATCTCGGCTCGAAGTAGATGAGATACTTCGTTTTTCACCGTGGTTTCGACCCGCGCCGTATAACGGCGGGGGCGTCGAGCGAATTGTAGCGAATAGCCTCTCTTTATAGTGTTCAGCACCCATTCTGATACCCCAGGAAGCTTTGACCACGCATCTGCGTGAATAGCTAGGGGCCGAATGAAATCTGGGCTCTGGCCGCGGCATAACGGCCGCTCGAGAGCCCCGGTGTGCTGAGAACTCAGCGCTGTGTTTACAGCGTGCGAGGCGGGGGGCGCGCTGATGACAGCGGGCAGCCTGGCCGCGCTCAGTTTCTCTATGACGGGTTGTGCAGAGAAAACGAGAATGTGGGCGCGGGACCGCGGGCACATCTACTGCACTGAGAACACTGTCGGCTTGCGCCGACCGAATGTGTGTTAGTTTCGTTTTTACAGAAACCAGAGGACACGCATCGTGTAGTGTAAGCGGGCATTGTGACATGGGCGCGTTCACTACCTTTTTTGCACAATCGATATGAATCGATTTTATTTGTGCTAGCCCTGCACCGTGGCGGGCTGTGTCTGGGTGTGGGAATGGGCAATGGGACGTGGGCATTCTTACGACACTCATAACACCATCGGCCGTGGCCGGGACACCAGAAAATACACTTTATTGGATTTATCTAGGTAGCCGTAAAAACGGCTTTTGTGTGCAGGCAAGCGGGCTGTGAAACCAGCTTGCTCACTGCAAAATACACTGGAACAATCACATTGCTTGGAATTGAACGAGCGAAAAGTTTCGGTGAAAAACCGGCCGCAGCAGGATTTGAACACCGTCGCTTTCCTAGAGATGCTAGGAAGGCTTTGAGACCTCGGGCTTGATCTCAATCCTCGGCCGGGGCCCGCGCTGAGGGGGGCGGCGTCCAGCAGAGCGAGAGCGCGGTCTTTGGTCTCGGGCCTGGCGGCGCTGTGAAGCGGCGGCGGCGGGTGTTGCAGACTGCGGCTGGGAGCTGCGGCCAGGCGGCTGCTTCGGGCGGCCTGTAGCGGAGCTCGAGCGCTTCGGCAGGAAGTGCTTCATAGCCTGCGATGTTTTCTGCACCTCGACGAATCTGTCCGCGAAGTCTTTGACGGCAGATCCGAAGAGGCCCGCTGGCGAGATGGGCGCGTCGAGGAACACCGAGCGCTCAGCATCCGTCATCTCAGACAGTGTTAGCCACAAGTGTCTCTCAGCTACGGTGAGAGAGGCCATATTTCGCCCATGGCCTGAGCGAGGTCTGTCGCGCTTCTCAAATCCGCCACGCAGATCGCTCCCGGTCCTTCCTCGTCCAGTTTATGGAGAAGGTCGGCTTGGAAGATCTGCAGGATCGCCATTGTGTGCAGTGCTGAAACTGCTTGCCCGGAAGCGGGGTAGGCGCGACCGTGCATGGCTGACGTCACTCAGCAGGCTTTAGAGGGTAGCGCCGTCTGAGCGCGCCGTCCAGCGGAGGGCGGGCAAAGATGGGAAGCTACAGCTGCCTCCACAGGAGGAATGGAGAGGTACCCTCTATCTTTCGCACCATCCACAGTGCAGAATGCAGCAGAGACGGAGGTACGCAGCCTGGCGGAGAAGGGGGCGTTCCATGATTTCGCCACTTCCTCGTGTAGTTCAGGGAGGAAGGGCGCGGGTCTTGACTGAGACGGAGCTTCGTCTTTCCTGAGAAAGCGTCCGTCCAGCCCGTTTCGCGCCGGTGGCGTGGGCGCATCCCAGTCGAGGCCGATGTTTTCCACGGCTTGAGTGAGCAGACGCATCAGCTCAGACTCAATGCCGGCTCGTTTCCCAGAGGGCTGGCAGGTAGCGGAGGGGAGGTCCACAGAGCTCGCCCAATCCTCACTGTCCGAAGCCAGGAGAGAACATGCCTCGACGTGTTCGTCGATCTCAATGGCAGACACGGTGGCAGACGGCGGCCGCTGTCCATCCGTGAGCGACTCGAGCGATGCCGGCGAAGCTGGCGGGCGAACCGGCGAGCTTTGGCGAGCAGGAGAGAGCTCGGGGGCGCGCTGGGCGGTGCAGGCTCTGAGAATGATGCCAGACGAGTCCTCAGAGTCACCATAGGCAACAGCTCACAATGGGGGCATCCGCCCTCAGTGAGCGCGAGAGCCGCATGATCCTCACCCAGGCAGGAAACGCAGATGACATGGCGGTCCCCGTCGCTGAGTTGGGCTCGGCACGAGCCACAGGAAGGCATCTTTAAAAAGACGCAGCTCTTTTAGAGGTTTTAGGGAGAAGTGTGAGTTGCAACGGCGAACAAACAATCTCAGCAGAGTAAAAGGATATAGGCGACAGAAAGCGCAGCAGGTACAGCGGCTGAAGGCGGCGAGGTGAAGGCCAGCGACTTCAGGCTCAAGGGCTCGTCCCGCTGAAGGCTTGCGTCGACAGCGCGGCTTCTCACTCCGGATCCAGCGATGCGTGTAGCTTCGCTGAAGAGATGAAAACCAGTTTGTATCAGCCTGTCGTCCGCCTAAATAGGGCAAGACCACGCCCTTTCTGGCGGGACGTGACGAAATGGGCGCGAAGTGCACCCATTGGTCATGACGTCGCGCAGAGCGGCTCTCGATAGGCTGCTGCTTTTGCCGCAGGGCAGCCAATAGGCACGCGAGCTGTCTCGCCTATGTCTGCTTGCTGCTGCAAAGCGTTTTACATTGATTAAAAATTAAGGATAATTTTTGGCTTCAATATCTCGTGGAAAAGAGTTTTCCCCATAGCGTAAGATATTACGCAGTACGAGAGATACTCTCGAAAGAGAACAGAAGTTGCATAAGTCGTTTACTCTCTTTTGAAAAATATAGGACAGGACTTGATTTAGCAAATCTGGAATTGATTGGATAATTGTGGTTTGCTACTGATTTCATGGTTACTTTAAAGACAAGCTGAATGCCACACTAATACACACACACACACACTGTACGCTATGGGTTTCATGGGAGGAGCCCCACATACTGTTTTTACCTGGTCTCTGTAGTAGTTCTCCATGGCTTCAATCTCATCTTGGTATTTGCGGTAGTTCTCCTGAAGCAGTTCTTTACTGTATGCTCGCTGCTCTCTCAGATGAGCCTTCTGACGTTCCAATCCTTCTTCAAAGATCTGCTTGAGCTTCTGAATAAACCAAAAAAAATTCTGTTCATTAAATGATTTGCAGGACAAGCTCTTATAAAAGCAAAAAATATCTTCTCTCATTTTTATTTTTGATAGTTTACTTTACCTTTTTAATACTTAAATATAATTTAAAGTTGTACTTGTTTACTTTTACTCAAGTATATTTTTGGCAAGATATTTTTACTTTTAATTTAATAAAATTTCCAATCAGTATCTATATAGAAGTATAATTTTTTAGAGTACTTATTACACCCCTGGAAATCACTTTCCTGAGCTTCCCTCTGTCTTCAGTCAAAAGATGAAGGCCATGGCATTCAGCGCCATTTTATATAGGGCCGCTGAGTCAGCTGACATTTTGCACACTGAAGCAGAAAGTATACTTAGTTTTTTCGAATGCACTGCTGTGCAAAGTATACTTTTGACTCGTACGCATACACAGGTGTTCGAATGAGCAATCTCTCGCCTCGAGTTACAACCCATGTAAATATCTTTGCATTCTTTCATGCTAGAATTGTAAAAATGAAGGTACTTTCTAACCACTTCGCAGAATCTTTCGTCTATGTAGGCCTACATTGTCGCTGTAGCTTGCATGCGTTCCACTCTGTTCTGTTTCTTCGCCTACCTTGTGAATCGATGCGGCCCTCACGTACGCGTAAGAAGTGAAGCACACTTTTGCCTTTAAACAGCATTGGCCAGTGTACTTTGACAGAAGTGATTCAATGGCTTTGATATTTTCAGAGAGGCGGTTCCCCTCATGTCAGTGAATCTATAGAGAAGGCTGTCTTGTAATTGATTGCTCTGGTCTGCCTCGCTGTCTTGCTGCCGTGTGGTTTGCGTCTGTAAGCTCTGTATAGCTTTCCGTTTTGAATCTCTATTTACTATCATTCCTTGTAGTTTATATCACTAAATATATCGTACTCATCAACCAGATATCTGATATTATCTAATTTTCCTTTTCGAGTCCATCAAACAACTGTGGTGAGTAGGATCAGTCAACAAACACGGTGAGTCATGTCTTCTCCTATTATTGTCACTTGCACTTTATGTCACATGTATAGTATAGCCTTCTCAGCACTGAGGGCTTTACATGTGATAAATGCAGGGAGATAGTCAGGCTGACGGAGAATATTTCAGAACTAGAGACCCTCATCCAAACTTTAATCTAGGATAGTAAGAATGCAAGGGCTTTAGATACTGCTTTGGATGCGACTAGCTTAGTGAACTCTGTACATTGTACGGTTCCGGATGTAGAGCCCATGCAGCAGGGCAATTGGGTGACCGTGAGACGCTATAGTCACAGGACAAAACACCGCTCTTCCGTTCAGATAACAACATTAAACAGGTTCTCTCCACTCAGTGAAGCACCCACTGAGAATCCTGTTGAAAGTGCCCTAGTTATTGGCGATTCTATTACACGGAACGTGAAAATAGAGACACCAGCCACCACACATGTTTTACCAGACCAACGCTGTGGGGGGCGCTGGGAACAATCGCGCTCGGACCGCAGCAAACGAGCCCAATGTGAAAGCACCGTCACCTGCCTCCGCCATTTTTCATATCAAAGCAGTGAAGGCGGGGGACGGGGAAGAACAAAAAAAAAAAATTGCCGTCGACTAATTATCATGGTCGATTACGTCGACTTAGTCGACTAATCGCGGCAGCACTAGTAAATAATCTTCCTGATCAGTTTCATCTCGTCAGCATCCCAGATAGCTTAGAAGAACTCGATGTTGCAACAAATATTATTGACTCTCTCTTTTCCAGCACTTTAGACACAGTTGCTCCATTGCACTTAAAGAAGATTAAAAGGAAATGAGCACACTCGTGCCCTAAAGAGAGAAGCCAGAAAAATGGAGTGCGACTGAAAGAAAACAAAACTAGAAGTATTTCGCATTTCGTGGAGAGAGAGCACGATTACGTACAGAAAGGCCTTAAAAACTGCTAGATCTGCTTATTTTTCAACACTTTTAGAAGAAAAACACAACCCTAGGTATTTATTCGAAACAATGCCTAAATTAACAAAAAATAAAGCTCCAACACCGGACGTTTCCAAACAGCACAGCAGTAATGACTTGATGAACTTCTTACAAGATTGATAATATTAGAGAGAAAATTATAACTATGCAACCGTCTACTACAGTATCGCATCAGACAGTGCATTGTAGTCTCCCTGAGGAAAAATTTCATTCATTCATTGCTAAAGGAGAGGAAGAATTGTCTAAACTCGTTAAATCATCTAAATCAACAACATGCATGTTAGACCCTATACCGACTAAGCTATTGAAAGAGATGCTTCCAGAGGTCATAGATCCTCTTCTTAATATCATTAATTCATCTTTGTCACTAGGATATTACCGAAAACCTTTAAGCTGGCTATTATTAAACCTCTAATTAAAAAAACACAGAGAATTAGTCAATTACAGGCCGATCTCGAATCTACCTTTTCTGTCAAAATGAATAGAAAAGGCAGTATCCTCACAACTATGTTCCTTTTTAGAAAGAAATGGTATCTGCGAGGATTTCCAGTCAGGATTTAGATCATATCATAGTACCGAGACTGCTCTCATTAGAGTTACAAATGATTTGCTCTTATCATCCGATTGTGGTTGTATCTCTCTATTAGTGTTACTGGATCTTAGCGCTGCATTTGATACCATCGACCACAACATTCTTTTGAATAGACTCGAAAATTATGTTGGCATTAGTGGAATTGCACTAGCATGGTTCAAATCATACTTTTCTGACCGTTATCAGTTTCTAGCAGTAAATGTAGAGATGTGATATCGATCAAAAGTTCAGTATGGAGTACCACAAGGCTCAGTACTAGGACCGTTGTTGTTCACCCTGTACATGCTACCCTTAGGAGATATCATTAAGAAGCATGGAATTAGTTTTCACTGTTATGCTGATGATACTCAGCTCTATATTTCTTTGCGCCCCGACGAAACGCATCAATTAAAAAAAAATTAATGGAATGCATAGCTGATATAAAGATTTGGATGACTAGTAATTTCCTACTACTAAATTCTGAAAAAAACTGAGTTTCTAAATATTGGGCAAAAAACCTCTGCACGTATTAAGCCAGAATATTGTCTAACAATTGATGGCTGCTCTGTCAAGTGTTCGTCGTCGGTTAGGAACCTGGGTGTGCTCTTTGATACCAATCTTTCATTTGAAAGCCACGTTTCTAGCATCTATAAAACCTCATTCTTCCATCTTAAAAATATATCTAAATTACGACATATGCTTTCAATGAAAATTACAATGATTATTGTAATGCTCTACTGGGTGGTTGCCCTGCACGCTTAATAAACCAGTTGGTCCAAAACGCAGCAGCTCGAGTTCTCACTAGAACCAGAAAGTATGACCGTATTAGCCCCGTTCTGTCAACATTGCATTGGCTCCCTATTAACCCCTCTGGGGACCAAGGTGTTTTTGGGGTCCTTGAGATGTTTTGACATGCCCTGACATTTGTGCTTTTTTCAGTTGCTTATAAACATATTACTGGCACAGGTGAAATTACACTATTTAGCACAAACAGGGCTACCATAATATGTAAGCAACATGTATGTACATGTTTGTATTTTTGAGAGAATATTGTTTATGCATGTTTATTGATAAAACTAAAAATTTAAGTTTCTGAAATAAGGCCACAAAACACATACTAAATATGTGTCCACAAGACTTTTGACTAATGGAAGTTGTGGCCTTGAGTATTTGCTTCAAAATGATCTGAAAATCATCCTTTCTAATCATTCACATAACACCATAGATTGCTTTAAATTGTGAAAAACATTTTTTTTGTTTGAAAGGCAATATGCGAATGGGCGTGAACGGCCCGACCCCCTCATGTATAATTAGGTGATTCTCACCTGAGAAGACAAAGATGCATTAATTTCATTCAGGTGTGTCACAAGAAAGAATGCAAGGAAAATATATATACATATATACACACACACACACAGACATATATATATATATATATATATATATATATATATACAGGTCCTTCTCAAAAAATTAGCATATTGTGATAAAGTTCATTATTTTCCATAATGTAATGATAAAAATTAAACTTTCATATATTTTAGATTCATTGCACACCAACTGAAATATTTCAGGTCTTTTATTGTTTTAATACTGATGATTTTGGCATACAGCTCATGAAAACCCAAAATTCCTGTCTCAAACAATTAGCATATTTCATCCGACCAATAAAATAAGTGTTTTTAATACAAAAAAAAGGCAACCTTCAAATAATTATGTTCAGTTATGCACTCAATAGTCAATACTTGGTCGGGAATCCTTTTGCAGAAATGACTGCTTCAATGCGGCGTGGCATGGAGGCAATCAGCCTGTGGCTCTGCTGAGGTGTTATGGAGGCCCAGGATGCTTCGATAGCGGCCTTAAGCTCATCCAGAGTGTTGGGTCTTGCGTCTCTCAACTTTCTCTTCACAATATCCCACAGATTCTCTATGGGGTTCAGGTCAGGAGAGTTGGCAGGCCAATTGAGCACAGTAATACCATGGTCAGTAAACCATTTACCAGTGGTTTTGGCACTGTGAGCAGGTGTCAGGTCGTGCTGAAAAATGAAATCTTCATCTCCATAAAGCTTTTCAGCAGATGGAAGCATGAAGTGCTCCAAAATCTCCTGATAGCTATCTGCATTGACCCTGCCCTTGATAAAACACAGTGCACCAACACCAGCAGCTGACATGGCACCCCAGACCATCACTGACTGTGGGTACTTGACACTGGACTTCAGGCATTTTGGCATTTCCTTCTCCCCAGTCTTCCTCCAGACTCTGGCACCTTGATTTCCGAATGACATGCAAAACTGAGCAACAGTCCAGTGCTGCTTCTCTGTAGCCCAGGTCAGGCGCTTCTGCCGCTGTTTCTGGTTCAAAAGTGGCTTGACCTGGGGAATGCGGCACCTGTAGCCCATTTCCTGTACACGCCTGTGCACGGTGGCTCTGGATGTTTCTACTCCAGACTCAGAC